AGATAGAAAATATCGCTCATCTTTTCTTTGCATTATTAATTTCTCTCCCTCCTCCCCTCTAAAGTCTTAAGTTAATGGTTTTATGTTTATTTTACATTTTGTTAAAGCCGACACAACCCGGTCAGTAAATTTAGGTCAGAGTGGCCCTCGCCACAGCTGATGGCAAACAGCCTAGAGTCAGAGCCTGGGCAGCCTTCTCTGGCTAGCTGCAAAGTTCACTCTCTAGGCTGCAGTCTCACCACTATAATTATGAACGACAAGCCTATAGTTAATTACAGTGCATGAATGGGAGATATCCCTGGACTTATTTGCATTCATTACTTGCTGGTAGTTTCTCTGTTGAGGTCTCCATCCTTGTTTTTACAGAGTGTTTGGCAGTGTTTCTGCAGTTGGTGTGTGAATTTTTATGATCTGTCGCGTGTTATTCATACAATTTCCTGCCCTGTAATGGTATCAGTTTTCCAGACGCAGAGGAATACAGACTAAAACCCAGGAGCCTGCATTAGCATAAAATGTCCCAGTTCTGTCAGTTTGATTAATTTGTCTCTTTGTCTCCACTCTATATGATAAGTGCTATTAATGGTTGCAGCACTTCATATGTCAAAGTCTTTCTTCCTAATGACTTGAAAATGCGGTTTATTTCCCCCCTTTTTGTATTATTTTTCTCATTTAGCATTCCACTCAAGTGTAGATTTATGCCATGCTCTTTCATTATCTTACTGGTCGCAGCACTGGAGTGATTACATATGGTGTAGAGTATGCGTAAAGATGTGATCCCAGGGGCAGCAGCTGCTGATGCAAGCTGAAAATAGATCCAGCGTACGCTCAGCACTTTTCCCAGAGGCCTTTTATTTATTAGTAACAGTCTTGGTGCAGGACAGCTTGGATCCTCATTTAGCAAGATGACTTTTTGCCTTTCCGAACACTGCAGTGACTTTGCTCTATTTACTGACACTGCTGTGTAATTTTTTTTAACCGCCTTGTATCTCAGCAATGACTTAACCTAACATAAATTGTAATATAATCTCAATATATAATGAACTCAAGAAGTGACAGGCTCCATTTGAAGTAATAGACCTTGACAGATCTAACGTTTAAATTAAATAATCCTATTTGTAAGATAGCATTTGTACATGGTACACTGCTTTAAAATGAATTTCTATTCTTCTCCAGTGATTCCTACAGTTTTTAGTATTCTGCCTCTCAAAAGGACTTTTCAGCAGAAAGAAATGCACTGAGAAGCCAACAGCTCTTTCATAAGGAAAGAATAAGATGAAATTTTTTTTACCCAGTTCAATTACTAAACTGGAACCAGCATCATTACTGAATCAAGATAGGTAGTTATTAATTCAAGCTGGCAAATCCAAATAGCTGAGGCTTTATCAGCACAGTGCATGTAAGATAACAAATAAAGGATTTTATTTGTTGCAAAATTTATGATTAAGATAATGGTCAACCTTCTGCACATATTTTTAGATTCAAATAGGTATTTTTTTCATAAATTTGAAAAGTCCCAATAATGAAAGTATGTATTTATTTTCTGAATAAATCCAAGAAGGACTCTTATTTTGTAATGTCATTCTTCTCTTTGAGAAGTGTTCTTTAAACGGGATAAGGAAGAATTTCATTGTACATCTTAGATAAGCATCTAGATAGTAATTCCTTGCTTCATGATAAAATTTTCCAAATTGCAAAAATGAGAAAATAATAACAGTAAAAGTATACAAATGACAAATTGAGAGTATTATTTATTGGCAGGACCTAGTAATATGAAGAGGAAGCCTTGAAGAAAAATGGATTTATAAATAGGGAGCAGAGCTCTTTCTGGAGAAGCAGTAGATAAGGGAGGCAAAAAGCCAGGCAAGTTAATAAATTTGGTTTTTGCTATTTAATGTGTGATTTTCACCTACTGCAGAGCCAACTAGGCATTAGTGGAAAGGGGGATGATTCCTTCCTTAAATCTGTTATTGCCTTGAAATAGTGCTATGGGTTTTTCTCTTTGGTAACAGGTTTTATTAATTCCATGATCAAATAGGGCTAAACACATGATTTCCTGCTGGGTTAGATTAAAAATTAAAACAGTGATTCATGATAAAGAAATAAGTGTGATTGTTTCATTTTAAAGAATTAAGTGTCAGAGTTTCATTTTAGCGCATATGTGACCCACAATGTTGTTGAAAGAGCTGTGATTCAAGCCATTCCTAAAATAATCTAACCAGGAGGCACTTGAGTTGAGTAGAGGAGAAGCTTCCCTTTTCTTGCCCACACGCACAGTTGCGCAACAAAGTGTAAGACCGTAGCATTTTTTCTGCTATGTGGTTCATATATTCTCTCAAGTTTGTTTGGGAGTCTTGACTGCTCGTAGCCTGGGCTGCTGTAGTGAGGGCCTTGAAGGTGCCCTGTATGGCAGTGGTGAGGTGGCGGTAACAGGCTAGAAAGCAAGCAGGAGCTTGCCTGCAGCTAATGTGCCTGCTTCCTTACTCTTTCTATTTTTGTCTTCCTTTCTTTCTCTGCCATCCTGCTTCACGCTCTCACATACAAAGAGCACCCTAGCTGGTTCTCCAGGCTCATCCCTCATTCCCTCCATTGTGACACAGTAATGTTACAGCTGATTTCATTCTCCGTCCAGTGGCCTCAGAACAGCGGACGATCTTGCTTGCCATAGGAGAGGTGATACTCAGTCATGACAGGATGAATTAAGGATGGGGTTTAAGTATTAACCCTTAATTTCCTAGCTCTTGTGGTTCCTCCGTCCAGTGGCCTCAGAACAGCGGACGATCTTGCTTGCCATAGGAGAGGTGATACTCAGGCATGACAGGATGAATTAAGGATGGGGTTTAAGTATTAACCCTTAATTTCCTAGCTCTTGTGGTTATAAATTAGATTCAGTGTTGTTATAATTGGAAGAGAGAGTGTGAGCATTTATATGTATGTGTGTCTATCAGTGAAATCGTGTTCGATCAATTGAATTGACCTTGTTTTTCTCCTGAAATACATAGACTGCATTATGAAAAAATGCAGCCCAAATTAAGAAAATATTTCACATAACTTGTCAAATATGTTATTAGGACCTCCGAGAGCTGATATTTCCCTTTTGCCACCAGATGTAAAATGAGAACAAAGCACTTTTTTTTTTTGGGATAAGTGGGACTTTGTTTTCTCTGAAACCTTTTCATTTCCAAGATGTCTTAGGAGAGTTACCTCCGTTTGGGCTAAGCTTCCCAATAAATGGTGTAGACTCTGAAGGACACTCTTGGAACCAGTTAGTTAGCAAATATTTTGTAAAACAAAGACTAAAGGAAGAAGTGCATTTCCAGACGGGGGCCAAGCAGAGAAAGAAGAAAGAAACCAACTTTATTGAGTACCTACTGTGTGCCAAGTGAATGAAAATAATTGAGCAAAATCACAACGATACTAGTATCAAAAGAAGAAGGTTGAGGGACTTACAGAGCTGTTTTTTTAATGGGAACACTATGTTTCACAGAAGTGTTTTGAATAGAAGAGAGAAAAGGGGAAAAGACAAAGAAAAAATGAAAAAGTTGTTAAAGTCTATCTAAAAAGGTAAAAGGTGAAAGGAATTCAACCACTAACAGAGAACAAAGTCAGTTGAGTTCAATACTAAGATAGTTGCTAGCAAGTAGAAATATAATATTCATTTTTATTCCTGTATTCCATTAGCAATTTCTGCCTCTTCAAATTCTTTTGAAAATAAGAGAAGAAATCTGCATCCAAAGCTTTGCTTGGCTCAGTCTGCGGTCTGCCACTCCTGGAGAACATCGTCATGAAGCCCAAAATCAATTGGATTTTTTTTCAGTGGGTAGTACAAGCCAATTTTGAGTCTGATTTAAAATTCACAGTATAAATTCATCCTGGCTTGCTACAGCTGTGAGTGTACTCCATTTTCTATTGCTGACTCTTTCAATAAAACATACATCCACTTCACTTTCCACACTTCAGATTTCAAGTGGAGGAGAGCAATTTGAAGGCCTACTCTCAAAACTGACTTGTTGGACCTTGTAGAACTTGCTTTAAAAGCTGCCATGAGTGTAGATGTAGGTATAGGGTATTTGCCTACTTTTTGAAAATAATCTCTTTGATCCAAGAAAATTATAGTGTTTGTATTTATGGGCATGCAATTATGCACTGAGCTTTCTTAAGGTACTGTAGTAAACAAGCTGGAGCCCATATACCTCTAGTTTTGGTTATACCCTGGTCCACTAAAAAATATGTATATGCTTAATTAAGTTAGGATTTATTAGTGAGGCCAGGAGGTGATAATGGGACAGTAATTTTTACGCATCAACTTTGACTCAGTTCTCTCTAATTGGCAGTGAGGAGAAATGTTAAAAGATCTTGCAAACGCAGCGTAATGCATGGGAAGTAAGGATGTCGAGGGAGGTTTTTTGGGGGGGATATACTGGGAATCATAAAACCTTAGTCTTAAAAATCATCTGACCCAGCAGTGAGAAAAAAGGCTGAAATGTTAAAAGATCTTGCAAACGCAGCGTAATGCATGGGAAGTAAGGATGTCGAGGGAGGTTTTTTGGGGGGGATATACTGGGAATCATAAAACCTTAGTCTTAAAAATCATCTGACCCAGCAGTGAGAAAAAAGGCTGTGTTTCATCTTTTGTGTATCCCTGGTGTCTAATACAGCGATGATGATGATGATGATGATGACAATGATGAAGACGACGACAATGATAAAAAAAAATAATCTTTATTGAGCACTCGCTGTGCCAGGCACTGCTCCATGCACTTTCCTCCATGTTTAACTCATTGGTGCTGTGGGATTGCTACTAATAACATCTCCATATGCCAGATGAAGAAACTGAGGCAAGAGAGGTTAATTAACTTGCCAGAATGTCAGCTCCTAAGCAGAGGAGCCTGGATTTAAGACCAGGCAGCTGGACTCCAGAGCCCCTGTTCTTAACCCCTTGCTTCAGTGACAGCAACAGTAATACTCATTAAAGTATTAATGAGTGTCTCTGTTTTTAATAGGTGGAAAAATGAGGTGCAGGGTCACAAACCAGTCAGAGATGTGGAGACTCAGTGAGTAGCTCCAACTCTTGTTCAGGGTGTCCCTGTACCACACAGAAATCACCATGAACCCAGCACTAGAAATTTGCCTTTACATGAAAAATAATGGAAAAGATGCTGGGAAAATTGAAATGTAAAGTGATAGCAAAGAGAGAATATCTGAAATATGAAATAAATTTTCATCATTTTCCCTTCACTTTATCCATTAATGGTTTTCTTCAATTCATGCCACTTTATCACATTAAAGGCTTTAATGTTTAGGTCACCTTAACTTACCTAAGGTACTAAGGCACTGAAGGCATAAGACTCTTCTAGGAAACCAGATAGGTAGATTTTATAATTACCCACATGGTAGGCAGAATAATGGCCCACAAAGATGTTCACATCCTAATACTCGAAACATGAATGCATTACCTTACATGGCAAAAGGGACTTTGCAGCTGTGATTAAGTATCTTAAGACGGGGGCTTATCCAATTGGGTTCAATGTAATCACAAGGATCCTTATTAGAGGGAGGCAGGAGAGTCACAGTCAGAAAGTCCACTTTCAAGTTTGAAGTCCATTCAAGTGATGATGGAAGAAGCTTCGAGAAGCCCAGCTGGAGACCCTGGCCATGGAGCTGGTTAGTTTCTCCACGATTATCATGAAAGTCAACCAGTGGGACCTGGGAGGAAGGTTACCTTTCCCCTGCCTTTTCCCCATCTCTGACCATAACTATATTCAACACATAATCTCACATTATACTAGTTCGTCTATCTTACATTCATCTTTATTTTAAGAGAAAAAAAAAAAGCCCCTCGCATCCCATAAGAACTCTCACCTCTTCCTCATTGCCAGACCAGAATGATTCTACGTCAGGCAGTAGCTAAAACAACTGGCTGGCATCAATAGTGTGCCCTTAAAGAAAGCTCCAGGCTACAGAATTCTGAGCGCTGTCCTCCTCAATAATTTATGCTCTGAAACCTAAAGTGCCTTAGTTATGCCTGTGAACCTTTACATAATTCCTGTTGTAACAAAAATATGGTGAAGGATCCCAAATGGCTTCCAACTGAAACCTTATTTTCGCCAGTGTGGAATCCAGGTTGTGGTTTTGGTGAATGAGTTGGGAGCAGCGTGCTGCTTCTGCAGTCATTCTCGTCTTGACATGGCCGTGCTCTCACACATTACCAACTCTTCCTGCCGACGGCCTCTCTCATCTGTCTCCATCTCCCTTCTCACCATCAGTGCCTTCTGCTTCTGCAGTCATTCTCGTCTTGACATGGCCGTGCTCTCACACATTACCAACTCTTCCTCCCGACGGCCTCTCTCATCTGTCTCCATCTCCCTTCTCACCATCAGTGCCTTTGTTCTGGCCACCCTTGGCACTTGCCTGGACTTCTGTGACCAGCTTGCCCCATCCAGGTTGTTCCCCAAATGCAGCCTGAGTAATCTCCCTAATACTCCTTGACAGACTCCTGTGCCGCTTCAGTGCCAGCCAGCCTCCTCAAGGTGACATATAATGTCCTTACAGCCTGTCTCTGCTCACCTCCAAATGTCATTGGTGTCCCCCGCCCCAACAGCTATACTCCTGCCATGCCACTGTGTGTGCTGTGTTCTTTCATGTGTCTTTGCACATTTTTCTTCCACCTGGAACACCAGTTCCCACCCAAAACCTGGCTAATCCTCCCTCAGGCTTCAGCTTATATGTCACCTCCTCAGAGTTAGATGCCCTTCTGCCAGCAGCTGTACTTCCCCTGTGACAGCTCTTACCATGCTGTTTTAACTCCCTGTTGACTTGTCTTTGTCCCATAGCTTAGAACCTCTCAGACCAGGCACCCTTTCCTTTGTCATCGTTTATCCCCCAGCACCTCAGACTCTGTGGAACTATTGAAGGTGGTCAATACGCATTGATCAAAGGAATAAAGTGAATTGTACCCTGCAATGCAAAGGTGGTCACCAGCAACCTCACATGTTGTAAATTCCCTTTGGGAGAGGATGCCTGGTCTCACTGCCTTGTCCTGGGTGACACAGACTCCTCAGCCTATAAACCCAACCCAGCTGAGTACTGGGTGTAACTGAGATCCGCTGGCCTCTGCATGAGGCTGCACACTTGCCATTAGACACATTTGCTCCTAAATCACTGTGTGGCGAAGGAGAACAAAAACACCTATCTGAAAGTGGCTAGTTACAAAGTGTTATTAATTGCTGACAGATTTGGCAGTGCTCAGGACAGACTAATAACATAAAATGGTCTTTTAGGTCTGCATTCAATATAATCAGCTAAAAATGTATTCTGTGTGACCAACAAACAGCAGGTTCCAAATTCCCTTTTTTTACCCCCCTAAAAAGTACACCATTCAGATTCCACAGATATTTTTTGAGGCCATTTGCTTCTCTTTGCCTCACTCTCTGACTTTCCCTGCAACCCAGATGTGTACGTATTTTGTGTTCTTGTGCTCCCTCTCCTGGTCTTTTCTGTCTTTCAGCGCGATTCTGTTCCTAGAATTGTGCACGACACAGGCGGGGGCCTGCGCATGTGAGCAGAGAAGCCAACCAGTGCAGCAGCACTTGTTGGAAGACCCACGGGGGTCCAGAAACAAATTCCCTTCGTCCTTGTTTGCAGTCAGCCTGACTAAGCAAGAAAGGGCCATACTGGAGCAGAAAAGAAATGTTTCTGGCATCCTTTTTGAGAAATGAAATGCTCTCTAGAAAATCAAAAAATTATAATAAAAAGCACTTGATATTACATTTTTTTAAATATGCCTCCCTGAAGGTATACAGATGCATGTATAAATGTGCCTGATCTGTTAATAGTGCTAATTACCTAATTATCTGGTCAGGTGCAATAATAAACCCCTTTGACATTCTGTTCCTTCCATATGCTAGATAAAGCGTTCTGATGTCTGGCCTGTGACTGTGCGAGAGCAGCCTGTATTCTCTTCCCACCAAGAGTCAGAATGTGGAATGGTCTTAACAGCCTGGCCGGCGTGGTGCTTCGCTTAGAGGGCACAAGACTGGGAACAGGGGAGTGCAAGGCCCTCCCTTGGGGCTGGCAGGACAACACTGTCCTTACTCCCCATCAGGGAGACCAGGACTGCACCTGCCTCCTTGGCCGTCAGCATCCTCTGAACTCTAACCCTGCTCACCTTCTTTCTTCTGTTGCAGTTGCTTCTTAACATTTCATAATTTTATCTGTTTACCTTACACTCTTTTTTTCCCTGTTTGAGTTTCCAAAATATCTTCTCTGCTAACTGTGTTGTCTTTTGATTTTGCTTTTCTCAAGCTGATCTAGAAGATCTCTCCCACCCCCACGTAAGATTCTCTTATTTTGACTTGGCAGGTTAAGGAAGAACCAGTTTTGCTCACCCACTTAGCTCTCCCAGCCATCATTTGCAAACCGGCCTGCAGGCTCTTTCCCTTGTCCTGTAACTTCTACCGGGATGGTTGTGTGTGTCCTTGGTTGTGTGTGTCCTCTCCTAACGTGCCATCTGTTTTGCTCTGTGACTCTCCATGCACTGTCAGCCTCTCTCCAAGGGATCATTTCTCTTTCTACCTTTTGCAAGGCCTGTTCAAAGGTTCATTTAGGTGGAGTGAGGGCACTGGTTTCTCTTGGCTGGAGAAGGGGAGGTGCTCAGGGAGACACTTTCCTAGAAAGTCATGAATCTGTTTTTGACATTTGCCAAAGTCAGGTTATAAATATTTGGAGGGCAGAGGTTGCCTCGTGTTGGTGTTGTGCTCTCCTGTCTGCCGCCTGCTCCCATCCAAACTTAGTGCTGCGAGTACAGTTTCGCCCCTCTTCTCTCTTCTGTTGCACCGGGAGTCTCAGCAATGTTTAGGTTAGCGTTTGATTATTCTCCACCTGTTTTATCCACCATTCATGCAATCCAAGTTCCTCCAGAGTAAAACTGTCTTTTTTGCTTCTTTCAAGTTCACCGTAGCACTCAATACAGTAAATGCTCAAGTAAATTTTTTGCATTGATTATTTAATAACAACTTGTTTAGGTACAAAAATACTCATAGCTTTAACACTTCTCTGTGATCTAATGATTTCTTATCATTTAATCTTTCTTGAATACTGTATCATCCAATTGACATGAAAATCTGTAATGTTATTTGCCTTATTAAAAAAATAAACTCTTCTTCACAATGCAGGTATTTAACAGATTTTATTAGAATTCATACAGAAAACATGAGAAAAATAAGACTCAGTCCTTGGCTTTGAAGAATTTCTAATCAAGACAGGCATAGTGAAATATGCAGATAATACTGCAAAACAGCACTCGTGATTAAATGCCAAGGCTGGTCATCTGTAAGCAGTGACTATTGTCCAGGTCAGAGAAGGGAGGGTCCAGTTTAATTGCCACCTCCTTAGAAAGGGTTTCCCCTGTCCCTTTCATTCTATATTGACAGACACCCACTCCCCTGTCTTCCACAGCTTTCATAGGTGCAGCTGGAACTGGCCACACAGTTAGGAATGCACTTAGGCAGCGGGCACAGCTTGAGCAAATGCTAGAAGTCAAGAGAAAGGCTGGGAGCCTAGCTCAAGAGGCTAAATGGAGATGCAACTGGAAAGGGAGTAGATTTGGGAGAAATTTGGAAGGTCAGGCAGGAGAGAATTAAGTTTGCTCTCTAAAGCAGCGAGTTGCTGCTTGAAACATAGTCCATGTCAGGAGCATTAACTCAGAGACTCTGCAGCCTCCCTTTGATTGACTATCCAGAGAGATCATGGAGGTGCAGGAGAGAGGAGAGATGGTATCAACAGAGAGGAGAGTTCATGAGCAGAGAAGTGGTGTATAAAAGCAGTATCAGTTTTCTCTTTTGCTTTGAGTCTCTGTATTTTTACCACAATGGTGACTCTACCTAGAGATTCTTAAGCCCTGACCTCCCACACTTTTTAAAGGAAAAAATGACGATGCCATCCAGACACCTGCTAGCTTAGTTGAGGTTTTCAAAGCTACGCCACTCTGGAAAGCTGCTGCTAAACCCCTGTGGATGAGCTCTGTGGATACTCTCTCCCATGAACCAGATATTTTCTGCTATAATAGTACAAGGAAACTGGAGGGCCTTGTTTTTCACTATGGTTTCTTAGGTTTCTGATTTTTCAACTTCATTGATTAAAATTCCATCAAAATACTGGGACACTCCCAGGTATTGTAGGCATCTTAACTCACATCCTTAAAGGTATGCTCAGAAATAGTTTGATTCACTTAAAACTGGAACACCCGGTGTTCTTGAGCTCTGGTATTTGTCAAAAACCAAAAGTTCATTTTCAGGATATTTGGATTGCTGCGAGGCACCCCCTCCCACAAGAAATGCACTTACACGCCACTCATGCAGAAAAGGGCAGTTTATTCACTCCAGCTGGCCAGCGTCTGTCTCTCAAGGAGCAACCAAGGAAGAGCGGCATCGGGCCTTCATCTTGTAGGGTTTTTAAAGGCAAAAACTACATCCCGTTGGCACAGGAGTTTGTCCAGGTGCACAAAGCAAGCTAGGGGGCTAGGTCACAGAGGCCAAGAATGAGCCGTTCGAGTAGTCAAGCATACAAGTTTTCATTGTGTATGGTTCCTGTTTCCATGTAATAATTCACTGTGTATGGCTCCTGTTTCTATGCAATTGTTTTTTGTTTCATGAGAAGGTCAACGGTTTTTCATGTGGTGGGGGGGTAGTCTGCAGGTGAGACAGGGGGCAAAATAGAGTTACTTAGGTTAAGCAAGCAATTCTACCGAAGCAGATAGCGTACATTATAAGGGTGTAGGGAGCTCTATTTCAGGATGACTTTATTTATAGTAGAAAAGGTGTTTTCCCAGTTAGGAGCTATAAGTAAAGAGGCCTTTCATAGCAGTTCCAAGCCACGTTCAAAATAGATGGCCCAGAACAGCCTCCAAAGTACATTTTGGACGCACCTGTCACTTATTTCCTTTTCTCACCATCCCCCAAGTTAGCGTGAAATGTGTGTTTCAGTCCCACAGAAACTGGACACAACCAACCAGTCATTGTTGGAAATTTCTGCCTCCCCCGCCTCGGCAGTTCTGCTGCTGCCAGAGATGCCACCATTGTCAAAAATAGGACCCTGCCTTCATGCCCCAGCAACCTGAAGTCCTTGACACACTGCCGCACCCAACTAAGGCTTGCTGCCAGTCCCTGTGGCTGTCATTTGCAATCCTGGAGTCCCAGTGTCCCAGGGAAGGCTGTGGGAGGGCTGTAGGGCAGGACAGATCCATGCAAAGTGGCAACCAGGCCATGCTGATGGATGGCATCGGCTCCCACCTCATTTCCTCCCTTGACAGACAGGAATCACGTATGAAAAAGGTTAGAACTCGGTAAAGAGGGGGATAGGCAAAGTGGCTGAATGATAAACCTGACTTCGTGCTCCCATGCAGGGGTTCGGGTATTGTGTCATAACGATTTCTGCAGCCCTGAGAGCTACAGAGCTGTGTGTTCTGTCTGCTAGTCCTGTAGCTCCAGGGC